GAAAGGCAAGAACTGACCTGCAAGTTGTCTGACCGCCACACCTGTGCTGTGGCGTTTGGAGAACACACAGACACCTATGCACAAACGTGCACAACAGAAATAAGTGAAAAATAAAATAAGTAAATGTGAACAATTTTAAAGCATTTTGGCTGAAGATCCCAGGCAAGGTAAACAGCATGCATATGGCTCAGGGTAGCCAGGAATATGGACAGTTATCCAGTAGAGGTCTAACAGTGTGGTCGAGATGGTGAGTGCTGAGTGGGCAGATCAGGAAGGGCCTCCCGGAAGAGGCAGCCCTTCGGCTGCTCCCTCTGTGTTGCCTGCCACACCCAGACCAGGAACCTTTCCTGTGTTCCTGCCTCCTCCTTTTACCTCCCTTCCAGTGGAGGCAGCCAGCGTGATCTTTCCAAATGTAATTCAGGTGCCCCTCTGTGCAGACCTCCTCCTAGATTCCTGTAGCCGGAAGGCCGTGGCAGAGTCTTTAGTTTTGTTCTGTCAGGGCCCGTGTCTGTGGCTCTCACCAGGCATCCCCTCTCACCCTCACTCTAACCCTGCCTCGAAGACAGGGTTCTGCTTGTTGTGTGTGCTCAGCACCTTCTGTGTTCAGTAAATACTGGTTACTAAAATTAAATAAACAAATAACGGTGGAGGGGCTGGAGAGATGCTCAGCAGTTAAGAGCCTTACGGTTCCTGCAGGGGTCCCAGGTTTGGTTCCCAGCACCCAGCATCTGTAATTCCAGTTTCAGTGGCTCCGCTGCTTCTTCTGCCCTCTGGGTGAGCTCCTGCATGCACTTGGTGCATATCTAAACACCCAGGAGACACACATGTACGCAAGTAAAATAAGTTTTAAAACAAAGATTAAAGGTTGGTGCCGATAGATGCATTTGTCCGTATTCAGAAGGCTGGCCCTAAGGGTTTCATGGACACAGAACCCTTTGGCCAGGTCCTCAGGGCAAAGGAGTGTGTCTGGGGGAACCAGGCCTCTTCTCTCCCCGCCCTGCCCCCATTTCCCTCTCTTTGCTTGACCCACCACGCCAGTTTCAACGAAACGTTCCAGTTTCTCTTCTGGACCATGTTCGGCATGGAGGAGCACAAGGTGGTGGACATGCCTCAGTTCCTTGTGCCCGAGTTCGTGGGCCGGGCCATGTACGGCATCTTCACCATCGTCATGGTCATCGTGCTTCTCAACATGCTCATCGCCATGATCACCAACTCCTTCCAGAAGATTGAGGTGTGCAGCCTGACCCAGGCTAGGCCAGGGAGGAGGGAGAAAGGAATGGGGAGGAGTAGGGTGCAAAGACTTTAGGGTCCTGCTCTGCTCCCACTGTCGTTTTATGGCTTTGGACAAATTCTCCTACAACAAGGGTCTCAGCACTGCTGTTGGTATAGACAGACACCAAGTCTAATGCTCTTTGTGCTTTTTCATGTGGTGGTGGTGGCGGCGGCGGTGGCAGTGGCGACGGCAGCAGTTTGGAGGCATTGTATAAAAGGAAGTGGGAGCACAAGAAGGAAGCGGATGGGTTGGGAGAATAGACTGAGCATTGAGCAGCAACTGGAAATTAGAGGAAAAAGAGAATAGGAAAGGAAAAGGCATGCCAGGGAAATGTGGGTGATTGATGGGGGTGGAAATAAGAACAAGCAGAAAGGGATTGGCACACCGGAGAATAAGAGATGGGAGACAAAGAGAGGCAGCATGGGCAAGCGAAGGGACCAGTGTCTACCAGCGCCCTGCGTAGCCTCCTGTCTCACGGTCTCCAGGACGACGCTGATGTGGAGTGGAAGTTTGCTCGCTCCAAACTCTACCTGTCCTACTTCCGAGAGGGCCTGACGCTGCCTGTGCCCTTCAACATCCTGCCCTCCCCGAAGGCCGCCTTCTACCTCCTCAGGTAATGGACTCCAAGATCTTGCCCCTGTCCACTACCCCGCTGCCACCCCAGGCTCTGCCCCTGACTAACTCCATTTCACCATGGTAACCTCTCAGGAGAATATTCCGGTTCATTTGCTGTTGCTCCTCCTGCTGCAAAGACAAGAAGTCGGACTACCCTCCAATCCCAACCTTTGTGAGCCTTCTTAGCCTGTTGTTTCCACGCTTGTGTTCCCAAACCATTGCTGTGTCCCCAGAGAGCCCAAACCATTGCTGTGCCCCTGAGCACCTGCTTCCAGCTCCCGCTGTGTCATGGCCTCTATTTTCATCTTCCTGCTTCTGGCTGGGTCCTGCATTTCTAGTCCCTCATCTTACAGCCTAAACATAATTCCATGCCACCTCCATCCCAAGCCCAAGTCCCAAATAACCTGGTTACTACGACAAGCTTGGGCGATTTAACAGCACGTGGGAAAAGCCCCTGAGGAATGAGAAGGCTGGCAGAGGCAGAAAGAGGCGGCTGGGGGTCCGAGAGCCTCAGCTATCTCCCATCACCTGCACTGTCACTCAGCCCGTCTGAGCATGAGCGCTTTCCTAATCTGGACCGTTGCTGCCAGTTCTACAGTAGTCTTTCCTTCCCACCCCAACCCCACCTCGCAGCCTTTACCACACACTCTAGATACCCTGCTCTCTCTCCCTGGTCTCCTTCCCCTAGCTGGCTCCCGTCATCCTCCAGGACTGCACTGTAGGAGACAGGCCAGGGACAGAAAGCTTGTGTAGATTTTGCCTTTCTCCTGTGGCCTTATTCTTGGTCAAGACAGAGATTGAAGGAAGGTGGAGAATCCACTCTGTCCTCCATTGCAGACCAACCCTGGGGCAAGCGCAGGGCCTGGGGAAGGAGAGCGTGGGTCCTACCGCCTCCGAGTTATCAAGGCTCTGGTGCAGAGATACATAGATACTGCCCGGCGTGAGTTTGAGGAGACCCGTCGGAAAGGTCAGTGGCCCGCCTCTAATCGCCCCCTTTGCTGTTCATGGCTCGCCTGGGAGGAGTGCCCACACCCAGACTCACCCTCCTTGCTCAGTTGTGTTAGGTTTTAGTCCCATCTTCTCTGCCCCTGAAAGCCACAGCTCACCCCGCTCCTGGACTCGATTATTCTGCCTCTATTTGCTTGTTATTCTCATTCCCTCATTCAACTCATGTGTGCTCAGATGCTCGCTCTCCCCCTCTCCCCCTCTCTGTCCCATTTCCCTCTTCCTGTCTTACTAAGTTGCCCAGGCTGGTCTAGGCTTCTCTTCGAAGAAGCCTAGGCTGGTTTTGAACTCTCCATCTTCTTCCCCCGTCTCCCAACTAGATGGGATTACATCTAGTTGTAATCCTGCACCACCAACCCCGGCTAATGTCTTCCTTCTTTGCTGCTACTTCCATCAATGCTCACATTCACCCATGAAGCTTTTCTAACCACCTGATCCCTCAACTCCTCCAGTCTTTCCTTAGAATCCAGATGGGGTGTCCCCTAGTTTCAGGAGGGTGGGCTGGAGGAAGACAGAGAGGTGCTGAGCAGGCTCACCTTCTGAAAGACCTCTGCCCTGATCCGTCTCAGACCTGGGCAACAGACTGACAGAGCTGACCAAGACTGTGTCTCGACTGCAAAGCGAGGTAGCCAGTGTGCAGAAGACTCTGGCGGCGGGAGGGACGCCGCGGCCTCCCGACGGAGCCAGCATCCTCAGTCGCTACATCACCCGAGTGCGCAACAGCTTCCAGAACCTGGGCCCCCCCACGCCCGAGACCCCAGCAGAGCTAACCATGCCTGGGATTGTGGAGACCGAAGTCTCTGTAGAACCTGGCCTTGATGCTGCAGGAGAGGCTGGGACGCCAACTACTAGAGAGTCCAGGCCCTCCTCCCCTGTACATGTGCTGGTGCACAGGGAGCAAGAAGCAGAGGGGACAGGGGATTTGCCCCTGGAAGAAGGTCTGGAGACCCAGGGCAAGTCCTGATGCAGCGGAGTTCTGTCACTGAGTGCAACCAGCTAGTTGGGTAGAAGACCATGGTGCTTTTCTGCCTCAATAAAATTTGCCTTGGAAGTCAGGTGGCAGTCCCCATTGATTGCTGTCCTAAGATCCCTTTCTTTACATCCCCCCAAATGCACACTGTGAGAGGAGGGGAGAGAGGAACAGCTTGCTTTGGGTTCTGGGATTTAGAATCCTGCTTTGGGATTCTTTAAATCTTTAGTGGAAAGAATTCTGGCCTGGGAGGCTGGAGGCCTGGGAGATAAGAGGCCATGGCGGCAGAAGGCCTGACAGTGGGGAGGCCTGGAGGCCCTCCCTTGGCCTTGCATTTCCCATCAGACACACAGGGCTGGGAATCCACCTATCCCTGCGCGAATGGTGGCAGTGAGTCTCCGGTGGCTGTTAGAAAGTTCCAGGCACAGAGCACAGTAGGACGCCATTATGTTTTGGGTGGCTTTTCCTCCCGTCCCTTAGCTCCCGGAATCATCACTCATGAGACTCATTGAATATTATACAAACACCTAGGCCATATAGCTTGGCTCTTTTTTTTTTTTTATTAGCTCATAACTTAAAGTGACCCATTACATCAATTTGCATGCTGCCACGTGGCTGGTTACCTGAGCTCAGGCACTAGGCAGCCATCTTCCTCACATCTTGGCGTCTGAATCCCAGGCACCTGGCTCTATCCCAGAATCCCTTCTGCCTGTCTGAAGTTTCACCTCTTTCCTGCCTAAGCTATAGCTATAGGTGTTGCATCCATACAATACACAAGAGATTCTTTGTACAACAGAGGTTACAGTGTTTAGGATGATCAGGGCAGTTAGTTTTCAGTACCTCGAGCCTGCCAGGGACAAATGACCTCATGCAATAAACCAGTCATAAAAGCCCATGTCGTTGCTACACCACAACTCCGTTTAATTGAGTAGCCATCCAGTCTTTACCTTGAATGTCCTAGGAAGTCCCCGCCACACAGTGGGGTCCCCTCAACCCTATCCATGGCCTCGGGTGGCCAACCCAGGGTTAGAGAGGTGGCCCCTAGGACTGGAACCAGAACCACACTTGCTTCCCGAGGCCATTCAAAGCCCATTCTTCATAATAAGGTCATCAGTTCCCAAGATTCCTAAGAGGCTTTCAGGGTCCAGCCCTGGAGAGCTGCAACTCCCCTGGGGCCAAGAGCAGCATTTCTCCTGATTGCAGAGCCAAGGCCTCTGTGGAGGATGACTCTGCATGCCCTACGGCTGGAGAAGGAAGAAGAGACAGTGAGGAGGGCAGCAGGCCCGGGGAGTGGGGAAGCTCACAGAGCAGACCAGGGACTGACCTACCTGCTGAGGACACACAGCCAGGCCTCTTCTCCCCTGCAACAGACAGCACAGTCAGGCGGGGGAAAGACACACCCAACGGTCGGTCTGCCTGTGGCCATCCCCCTCTCGGTCTTTTCCTTCACCCCAGACAGCTTTTCCAGGCTGCCTGTCCATCCTTGCTCCTACCCAAACCATCATCGTGCTTCCATTCTGTCCCTGCGTCTACAGCTGAGCTTGGCCCAGCCCTGTCTCCTTAGCTCTATCCCAGCTGGGGCCAGCCGAGACCCGGAGCAGTACCGGCCTCCTTCGCTCGAGTCCTTTTGAGAAGACAGTCATCTTGGAAGTCTCACGGGACCTGGCAGGGCCTCAGTCTCACTAAGCGGGTTTCCTGAGGGCGCCTGGGGACTGGGTCACGCTATCCTGGCTTCTTTCACCCACCCTGCCATTCAGTCTCCCATGCATCGCTCACCACCCAGATAGGCGCAGTTAAAGTGGCTGCAGGTCTGATTATAACTCCAGAGAGTCACTACGCTTTGGGCTCCACTCTGGGAGAACCCCGTGACCAGGAAGACTTCATGTGGGGGTATCAGCACCTCACGCTCCTCAGGGAAGACAGACAGAGCCTGGATCAGAGCCCCGAAACAAGTCCTTAGATTGAAGAAGGTGGCATTTCCAAACCCTCGGGCCACGCTTTCATCCATAGAGCTGGAGGCAAACTGTCCTAATCGGACAAAGTCCCCCAGCCTCTTGGGTTCAAAGTGAAGGCTGCCCACGCCTCGGAACACCACCTCCGCAGCCTCTGTGCTGCAGCCTCCGGGGCCCCGCAGCAGCTGCAGGGCCCGGGTCAGGTAGAAATGCAGGGCCTTGAAAGGGAAGTGCCTCATGTAGAGGTCCCGGGAGCCACCCCCCGTTCGCACGGCCTGGTTCAGCTCCCAGTACAAGGTGTTGGATGAGTTGGTGTACACCATAATAGCTATTCCGTGCTGGGCTTTGAAGCCAGGAGGTAGGGTAAGCTTGTGCCGCCGGAGCTGCCAGGCCTCATGAGCTGCCCCCCAGGACTCCCGAAGCAGGGTGTGGCGCGCCATCTCCTCCTTCAGCAGCGGGCCTGCTTTCTCCTCCATCTCCTCAGAGCAGCCCACGTAGGCATCATCGAAGGTGTCCGGGACCAGGCTCAGGGGCAGGATAGGAACAGCTTGGACCTATGGACGGAAGGAAGGGAGGTGCCACATAGGCAGAAGCCTAAGTTTAGAACACCGGCCACGGGGGCTGGTGGCAGATGGGTTCAGAATCACAGTTTTCTCCTCTGTGCCCAAACATCCGATGCATGCAATTGGCAAGACCCAAAACAGGCACAAATAACACAGGCAGTGGAGTCAGGCAGACATGAATTTAAGCACCACCTGCCAGCTGGGCAACTTGAGCAAGTCTCAGGTCAGAGCTTTTCTGGACCTCACCTTCTTCACCTATGGATTAAGGATACTTCCAACCTCGCAGGGTTATTGTGAGGAGAGCATAAAGGTCATAGGGGCACAACTGAAAGGGGCTCATCTCGCCATCTGAGAGGCGAATCTAGTTGATTCCTGTGCCTCCCTGGCTCTGATCACCAGCACGAGGCAATGTGCAGCCAGTATCTGAGTCCTGCCCTGGACCCATCCTCCTCAGCTAGTTCTCATCCTTGGAGAAGCCCTCCGCTCAGTATACACCACTCTCAGCTCTGAGAGTCCTGATTCCTCTCCTGCTTTAGGAGGTTTTATCCTAAACTCAAGATGAGGTGGAAGTTTTACTGTCCCCAGCCCAACCCAGATCCCAAAGTGTGATGGTGTTGGGCGGTGAAGCCTGGTTTTCAGGATCTGCCAGCGTCTACAGCAGCCCAAGGGTCTGTGATGCGCTTATGGTGTGGGATGATAAGTAGGAAGGAGAGTCGGAGACAGTCCTTACGGAGGAGATTGACCTGGAATACAGTTCCCGAGAGGAGGACTGGGAGAAGCGAAGTCTCCTCCGAGGGTTTCCTGGATGGGTCCTCCTCCACCACCTTCTCAGCATCTGACCCACACTGACCCTTGTTGGCAAAGGATCGCCCGGAGAGAGTTACCTTGAGCGCGTGCAGGCTGAGGCAGCTGAGGACCACCAGCAGATCCTCCAGAAGCATCCTTGAAGGAGTCCCCGGATGGCGGGACCCCGATGATGATGAGCCCAGCGGATGGGGTGGTGGTGCTGGCTTGGATGGGCTCCAGCTCCTTTCTCCGGCAGCGGCAGCGCAAGGGAGAGGGTCCTTGGTCAAGGACTGGAACTCAGGAGCGATGTGGGGCGGGGCTAAGGGCGAGTCTACGGATGGGCAGGGCGTGGATTTTACTGCCCCATCTCGAGACCTGGCCTGTGACTCCCAGACGGCTGCCCCCACACTCAGGACTTCTTGGCGATGGTCTAGGTGGGGCAGTTAGGTGGCTCGGCTGGAGAGGGGTGTGGCGGAGCCGGGGACCCACCTGGGCGTGCTGGAGGCCGCTCTCGGCCTGGGCCTCTAGTCCTCGGCGACCGACGTGGGCTGACGGGCGGCGGTCGCCGCGCGGATCCGGGACTGCTGAACGAAGTCCCGGCGGCTAACTATAGCCCCTGGACTGGTAACCCGACACCTATCTTCCGCAACAACAGACGGGGGCGTGGGAGCTGGACTGGCAGCGCTTGGGCGGCTGAGGCGCGAACTCTCCTCCTGGATGACAGGTTCTTTCTGTGAGAGCTGAGGGAAGTCAAGGGTGGGGGAGGGAACTGTGAGAGTTGGCCTCTTCTCCGGTGGCCCTGGGACCCAGCCAGGCCACGAAGCCCCGTGAGGGTCACTTCTTGTACTTCAGGCTGGTAAAGTCCCCAAATCTGGGTTATTTGCATACTATTTGCATATGAGACACACGTCGGGTCGCGTGCACCGAGCCCCCTCCCCCCCCCCACTCTTTCTCAACTCTTTACCCTGGGTGGCTACCCCGGTCTGTAGGCCAAGGGTAGGAGGAAGCGTGCTGTCTTAGACGGTCAGACCGGCCCTCTCCGGCCCTCTCCTGCTCAAGTGACCCCGTGTTTGTAAACACAGCTTTCTCTCGCGCCTCAGTTGGGCTTGACTATAAATAGCCTAGTTCTTTGAGCTGCCCAGTTGGAGGTAACGGGAGAAGGGGCCAGCTTGTGGGAAGGTGGAGGAGGGATACTCCGAACCTCAGGATTTGGAGATGCCACCTGCTGGGGATGTGAAATCCTCTCCCGTCCAGCTCATGAGTTTGTCCATCACCACCCCTTCCCCCGCTCAGACCGTCCGCCAAATAAAGTTTCCTTCACCTAACGGCCTTTATTCTACTCCAATCCTTCGAGAAGACTGAAGAGGAAACCAAACTGTCCGTGCAGCGGGAAGGACGGGGAGGGAAGTTGAAGAGCGGTGATCCCGTCCGCCCTCCTTCTCCTTGGAGGGGTTCAAGTTCTCGTTGCTGGGACAGCAGCTTCCGTGTGGAGACAGCCCCTGGCTTGGGGAATTGCTTACCTCCTAGCTCCTGGAGCCCCCACAAGGTTCCAGGAGGTGGAGTCAAATTTGGTCAAGGATCAGGGATCCTGAGAGGGGTGGAGTCCTCCCAGGTCACATGGTTGTTCAGGGCTCCAGCTACAGAACAACGACACACGGTGGTCCAGACCTGCAATTCCAGCACTCGGGAAGCAGGCTTGAGCTTTGAGCTCAGCCTGGACACTGTGAAAGAAATAATAACAATAATAGAACAAAATGAAAGATGCCTGGAGGTGGTGTGCCTTCCCGGCTGACCAGAGGCCGGAACCAAGCCTGGTGAGGGGCTGCTGTCCGGCTCCTCCACAGCCCCAGAGCCTCCCCTTCTGCCTTCAGCAGCTCTCATTGTCCTGGGAAGAACGTTGGCCCAGGTCACGCTGGGCAGAGGCTAGAGTTCCTGAGCCTTGAGGAGACAGCTTGAAATAGACAAGTGTCACATTTCTGAGCAGCTGTGTGGGGAAAAGCAGGAGGGGCAGGGAATTGACAGTATAAGAGAGAAAGCCGCCCTCCCTGCTGGGTCTATTGGAGGAGACCTGCCCAGCTTTACCACCGTGGAGAAGGCTAGGTAAGGGACACCTCACCTCCACAGGGAGCAGGGAAGGAACTGTTGATAGGAAATTTTATGGTATTAATGAGGTTTTTAGGGATCTTTGGATGAAATGATTGAGGACACGTAGGAAGGTTTGTGAACATGGGAAAGTTTGGAATTTTTGAGAAGAGACTTGGGTTCCTTTTCCTAGAAGGGACTGTTGAGGGAGAGCCTGGAAAAGAGGAAAACTCAGGGGTTCACAGGACGAGGTGAAGCACAGCTCCCTTGTCCGTGAAAAGCAATATTTAGCTGGATTCAGCTCTTTCACTCCAGAGACTAAGTTAGAGTTCAGCCTGGGCTATCTAACAAGAACTTGTCAAAAAAAAAAAGTGGGGGGAGGGGAAATTTCCAGCGTTCCAGACCAAATCTCTGCTTTACAGCCCCCCCCCCTTCCTCTGAGGTGCTCTGTCTTGTTAGCAATGCCCAGAAAGCCTCTCTGGGCTTGTTTTATCAGAGATTAGGGTGGGGTGGGGTCTCCCAGCTCAGAGGGAATAAAAATAAGACAGAGCTGACTGTAGAAGTGAGAGTGTGTGGACGTGTGAGTCTCTGGGAAGCGAGCCAGCACTGACAGAAAGGGTGGTGCTGTCTGAACGAGGGAAGAGGCGGCTTCCTCTGATCTTCCAGGGGCACGAGGAGGTCATCACCTCGCCCGAAGGATATGGAAGACCCTTACGGAAGGATATGGCGGAGGCCATGAGACCTGAGGGTACATGCTAGGAGCACAGAAGGCAGAAGGTGTCTGCATTCAGGGTGACAGTCTGTCCCCAAAGAGAAGACGGGGTGCTGCCCAGGGTCCCATCGGGCATCTGCAGGTCCTCCTGAAGCTGGGGTGTTTATGTGGATTTCCCTCCTTCACAAGACTCTCAGCAAGCAGTCTGGAGACTTTGCCTGGTCTGGGTTGAACTCCTCCCGGTAGTTCCTGCACAGGCCAAGGCATGGGGGGCGGGGCAGGCTCAGGAGAGGCAGCACAGAGTTGAGGCCGCCTGGGTTTCATGGGACCCTGTCTCAAAAAACAAACAACAAAAAGCAAAACAGCACGCCTTTTATTACAGCACTGGGGAGGCAGAGGCAGGCAGATCTCTGTGAGTTCGAGGCCAGCTTGGTCTACAAAATGAGTCCAGGACAGAGAAACCCTGTCTTGAAAAACCAAAAAAAAAAAAAAAAAAAAAAAGCACAACAGAACAAAATGATCTAGCAAAACGATAATTGATAGCGTTGGCAAAGGCATGAAGAAGGATATTTTCTTTCACTAGCGGTGAAAGGTTTCTTTTTGAATCATAGTCTGGCATGGCCTATTAATATAAAGCTATTTCACCCATGTGTGGCTGTGCACACCTATAATCCCAGCACTCGGGGAGGAAGCTCGTACATCACACAGGTTCTAACTGACAAGCTCATAGGAGCCAGCCTGGGACACAGAGTGAGTTCAAGGCCGGCCTGGACTACAGGGTCAGATCCTGCCTTGAAACAAGCAAAACATTATGGAAAACTCCATGTGCCCGTTCAGTGGTTTAACTACACCATGAAACACATCAAGTGGCCATTATAACAATCGAGGTGGATAGGAGGGGGCTTACTTGGAAGGAGGACCCTGATGTATTGTTTCTCAAGGGGATATAGTTATAGGATGAGTATATGTGAACAGTTTTTTCTTTGGAAAAAAAAAAAAAAAGACAATAAACCCCAAAACATTAGGACATCATGTGCGTGTGTGTGTGTGTGTGTGTGTGTGTGTGTGTGTGTGTGTGTGTGTGT